CATCTGACAGTTTATTGTTATGTTTTTTTTGAATTAATATTAAATTGCCTGAAGATGAATTAAAAAATTCGAAACGTCGCTTAATAAATAATTATATAATGAATATTGGTGTTCTAATTTTTAATTTAAATTATAATTATAAAAAACTAATAAGAAAATTGAAAATCTTAATAAAAAATTGAATAACAATAATATAAGCATCGCATTTAATGAAATATGCTTAAATGAAAATTTGTTACCGAAATTTACTGATATATATATATATATATATATATATATATATATATATATATATAAAATGACAAATGAGTATAATAATAATTAAAAACATTTTTTCATATTTTTCAAAGTTTACTAGTTTTTAAGAGTAAAATTTTAATCATTGCGCGGTGATTTAAACTTTGCTCTAAAGAATAACGGATGGAGACTATAAACGAGGATTGGATTGATAAAGAATAAAAAAAAAAATATTTTTAAATCAAAAATTAAAAGATATAATTAAATAGGTTAGCACAGTATATAGCCTTTTAACATTTTACAATTACACAAGTTTCACCAATCAGTCATCCAGCAAAAAAGATGTAAAGTGCAGTTCCATAAAATGAGAATATAAAATAAAATGCTCAGACAGGATGATGATAAATAATAATACATGAAATAAAAATTTAAATCAACAGGTGCGAACAGTGCAGTGATAGGTGGCACTAATCTGATTTATTGCTACACATTAATGCATCTAATCAGCAAGTGCATTTATGCTAAGTTGAAATATTAATTGATCTAAATTGCAATTTTTATATGTCATTTTTGAGCCATAAAAATTAAAATTTGTTTAAACTGGGATACAATAGAGCCCCAAGCAGAGATATTTTTATATTTCATTTTTGAGCCATAGAAATTAAAATTTGTTTAAACTGGTACACAATTAAATAAAAAAATGAATTTATTAGTGCTTGATTATGTTAAAACATTAATACGAAACATATGAAACTTCAAGCAATAATAATGAATGAAAATATATTTACAATTTAATTAAACAGTGATATAATAACTGAATCACGAACACAACATTTTCTAAATAACAAAATAAAATTTTTGAAATTAAAATATGGTTTAACTTTAATTTTGTGCAAAATAATATAATAATAATAATTATAATAGCACTACTAGCCTGATACACATTCCTGAAATGTTTTAAACTCCTCAGGACTCAACTTCTCCCAATGAAACATAATCTTCTTCTATTTTATTATGAATGATTAATTATTATGGGTCCGATCAACGGCCAATCTTATCACTTGGTTGGTGTAAAATATTCAGAATAGGCAGATTGAGAAAAAAAGCATCTGCCCAAATTCAACTAATTAATGATGAGAATGTCCAGTTTTGCTTAATTTAATTAATTAAATATTAAAACTAACTAAAGAGTTGTTAGTTCTAGGTTAAATTATAATATAAACAATTCTGATTCTTCTGTTGACAAAAATGTTGTTACTGAAATCAGAATAAATGCAAAATAATTGATTTTAAATTTAAATGTTTAATCTTCTTAAAATGGTTTGATTTTGATCAGTCGCCTACAAATATTCATTATTTAACCAGGCATATCCCTATCTATGGCCTATGCCTATTGAAATGAATCAAGTAATAAGTTAATTAAGCAAATTTAGTTTAATTTTAAACTTTTTAAGCATAAAAATAAAACAATATATTAGATTAAAATAAATTTTAAAATATCAATAACACCAAAAAATAATACATATTAAATAAAATTATATTTTATTTCTTGTAAATCTGTTAATTTGAAAATGAATTTTAAATTAAAATTTAATAAAATAAAATTAAGTATTAAAAATTATTTTCAATTTTTTTTCTTTAATAAATTGTATTTCATTTCCTGTTATAAATGTAATTATAATTAAACAATTTTTTATTAATACAACCACAAAAATTAAAATGATCAAAAACTCACTGATTAATTATTAATTTAATTATTTTAATTTCTAATTTAATATTATATTAATTATTAATTAATTAAAAATTTGACATGAAGCTTTTAATTAATTTAAATAACAATTTACAATAAATCAAATAATTTTATTGTTTTACTATAAGCATTAAGATTAAAACTTGCAACCAACGCATACGCTCCCATAGCAAGCAAATTAATTACAGAATCTGTAAAACAGATAGATTCATTTCGTTCTTAATGTGAAAACCCTAAAGGCGGACTCCATATTTTTATATGAAACAGAGATGCACCACCTACCGTTGAGTCAGATACAGTAATTGATGCTGACAAATACAGTAATTATCTCAGTCAGATATAGTAATTGATACTGTAAGATACAATAAAAAAGTAACTCCGATACAGTATTTACTATTTAAGGCTGCTTGTAATCGATTACTTATTTAGTTATTAAACTAATTAAGTTAATTGACGCAGTAGTAACCTGAAAAACAAATGACGAATTATCCAATATAAATGACATTTAAACATATACAATTTATACAATATCTTACCCCTATACTTAGAAATAGAATATGTATTGCACATATTACAGTTGTATATACTGTATAGAACGCTTTTAAATATCAGTTTCAAAGAAGGAAAATATCGTTGTTACCACCAATCAAAACCACATATATTCAATATGTATTTTAAGTATATAGATCAAAGTTACAATAAACGTTAATTGTTAGAACATTAATTCATAGAAGTGATTCAACGTTAGAAAAAGAAAATGTTATAGCAAAGTCATTAAACATAAGCTACGCAAATCGCTCGGGATTTTTAAATCTTGTTAATTTGCCACTAATGCAACTGCTTCAGTTCACGGTTTTTTATTGTTTAACTCTGACGTACATGTCATCAGAATAAAATAATTTACCCTACTTTTATACTATATATAAAACAATCTGGTCAGATTTAATGAACAATCAGTTATGCCGTTTGAGATTTTGTGTGAATCTATCGAGAACATTATTGTAAAAGTATTTTTCAAATAACGTAATAAAAGTTTTAAAGTTTCGTGCCCAATTTGCCGCATCCTACGCTTTGATGCCCGTGGAGGCCGGTTACCCCATTTCTTCGGTGCGTCACTGAGCTGTTACTCGAAGGTTTATTGGCTAGATATTTTCAAAAAGATTTGCAAATGAAATTGGCTAATGTATTAATATGACAGAAAATATAAAAAAAATCGTCAGCAGAAATGCTGGTCTGATTTTAAATATCTTCGACTGCTTTGAATACTTCCTTTTTATCCAAATTTAATCCATGGTTTAGAAATATTAAATTGGATTTGGATGGAAAGTTTGATATTTTAACCCTTTTTGACAATGTGGTTAAACGTGATTGTCGAGAGTTGAAACGGTTGAAACAGTTCTTTGCATATCATTTTACCACTACCTTGTGCTATACGTTAGGTTAATCAGCTGTTGACTTGGAAAGTTTACTAAATAAAATTTCATTAATAATATTACTTCATTTTTAATATTGTCCGGTTATTGATAAAACGGTTTTAATTAAAAAAGTACTGTCAATTGAATAGCGTTAGTTAGTTCATCTTTAAGATTAACTTGTATGCTTTCAATATCTAATCTCAATTATTCATTGAGCTGATATGTAAAAATTTGATATAATGATCAAGTGTTAAGCTTATAAAGTTTTAACCTGACTAAACAGATAAATTAAAGACGTTATTTAAAATGTTGCTCTTCGGTCGGCTATTTGAAAATTATTGTGAAACTTTTAATGCTTGTTTTTAATGATTTTTTAATATATAAATGATCTTTAGCGATCTTTCGGCAAAAATAACTTATAGATATGCCTTATTTTGATGAATAAATAACATGTTCAGTGATATGGGAATGGGACGAACATGTACAGTACACACATTAAAAAAATCATGCATTTAAATAAGTGGTTTTGCAGTTGTAGGTAAAATTCGAATGATGAAAAAACGCAAGAGATGTTGGTTGGAGCTCGATAGAATCTTTCCGAGATTGGCGTAACGGGAGTTGAAATTGCGTCTGTGGTAAACTTGAGATTTTGTTTGAAAAGTTCACCTAACATGCTAAACATGCGTCAACATATTACCAAAAGCAATCACGTAAAGAACTGTTCGTGTTTATTATAGCTTTCATTACGGTTGCATTAGAGATTCATAGTCATAAAAGTTTGCATTTGTGGTCAGTCGAGTTAATTATTGCAACCGTTTGCGTAGCTAATGCTATCCCAAAAGTTAACAGTAAAAAGATTACAATAATAATCAATTTAAAATTGCTAATTCGTTGCGGGTTGCAAAATCGTCTTCAGAGTTTCAGTAAGGTGTCAAATGTATGATCAAAAATGCAACATTATCTATAACGTGAATTGAGCAAAACAACATTATTGATCGAGGGTATAGAAGGATTTTCAGGTCCAATAAAAACAAATTATTTTTTAGATACCGCGGGTAAAATCAATAAGTTTTGAAATTTACAAGGATGTTGAACAATCTGCCAACAGAATTGAAAAGAAATAAAAGAAACTGTTTTTAGAAAAAAATCTAAGCATCTTTTGTAAAAATAAGCGTTCATAAGGACTTTATTAAGGGAAGTATTAACGCTAAACGGTAATAATATATTCAATTACTTGTATAAGAATCGCTACAAGAGAAAAAACTTTTCTTGTTATGAAAGGCAAACGCGTAAAGTTATTTAAGTGATTTTATGAATACTGGCCGAACTTATAATCATTCGCATATACATCACCGCTTCCAAAAATAAAGGCAATGATTAGTCGATCAAATATTTTGATGGAGTGCAAGTTAATGACGACAAGGTATGATATAGGTAGGAAAAAATTAGAAAAAAAACTACAATCAATTTTTATAAAAAGTTTTAAACAATCTTTTTTTTAATTGTTAAATAACAAATACAATACAATTAAATTTCTTTAAAAATTAATATAATTTAAATAAATAAAAGATAAAATTAAAAAAGCATATGGTAAAATATTATGAGAACATTTTTTGGTACAACTGTTTTTCTTTTTTAATATTCAAATCAACAGTTTTAATTAAATTAGTCAAAGCCTTATTTTCAGGTTCATGTTTTAGAGCAACGATTAGATCCAGTTTGGCCATGTTGTATTCATGCAAAGCCAGATAAGCTTGCGCCCTTCTGTACAAACCTTTCACGTTTGTAGCATCCAAATTAAATGCTTCATTGCAGTGACTGACGACTTCACTGTAAGCTTGTTCCTTTAAATAGGCTGCTGCAAGGTTTAAATGACACTGAAGTTTCAACAGTTTTGCTTGCTTAAATTGACTGCTGGTTAAATGTTTGATTTCTATGTCATCTAAATAACGTAAGGACTTTTTAAATCTCAAAAAACTAAATTTCAAATTATTGTTAAAAATTAATGTCCCCTGATTCTTATGGTGTTCAGCTCTTTCTAATTTTTCATCAGCAAGCAATTCACTCATTTCAGCAGCTCTGTTAAAAGTTTTTAAAGTCAATTTGAATTTGAAATTGTTATCATCTAGTTCATATTTTTGAACTTTTTGTCCAGAAACGTCGATATTAGATTTAACATAGCATTGTTCACCTTCCTTCATAGTTATTAAAATTTTGTCCAACAACTCAGAAATCACAGTGTCACCTTCTCCTATCGTGATTTCAGTTTCTTTATCTAAAGCATATCCTCCCAATTTTTCTTCTGGTATATTATTATTGTCTGAAACCAATATATAACAAAATTAAGATTAGTAATACATAAAAGTATTTAAAATCATTTATCAATGGTTCTATAGCTTTACTGTAAGCTATAAAATCACATGGATATAAAATATTAAGTTGAAACTCAATGTACCTGCCCATTGGTCATAACAATATACTATTGCTTCTTTGAGATAACAATTTAAAAAGTGCATAATAATACTGATAGTGATACCATTCTAATATATTTATAATGTTTCATTTTTAAGTTCGAAAATAAATGTACTATTTAAAATTTAATGTCTTTCCATTTTGAATATTCCTTTTCTAAGTTAAAATTTTTATGAGTATTCACTTCTTTATTTTTATGTTATTGATATATTACTTGATACAGAAGTCAACCCTGCCTAGATAAGCATTAATAGCTTGGTTCAAGCAATGTTAAACTTAATTTTAAATAATTTTAATATGGGACCCTAAATAACTAAACACTAAAAAATAACTATAACTTTATTTAAGCTATGCTTTTTATGCTATAAACATAATAATAATACTTAATAGTGTAATATTATAATCATAATAGCAGAGCAGCTTTAAGTTTAAATTAAATTAAAAAGCATGCAGCAAGCAGTAGTAAAAAGTAAAGAAATGCCTAACTGGCCAATCCCTAATGAATGGTACTAATAATTAATTTAATTAACTGAACATTAATATTTTTTATTTTTTAGTAGTTAGTAGCAGTCAGTAAATGTAAAACAATTTACTATTTTTACATAGTGATTGTAAAATTGCCATATCAATCAAATAAGTAGATACTTAAAGCTAGCAGAAAAAACAAAACACCATTTTATAATTATTTAGATTTACCAAGGACAGTTAAGAGAACCAGGCATGTGGAGCCATCATTTGGTGTTGAATCTCCTACTCCTGCTGTAAGGATGTGCTTGCTGTAGGAGTTGTCATCAGGAGAAAAGGTTTCTAAAGATCCTAACGATTTATGCGCGCTCATCAGCTCCTTGCACTTTACTTCGGCAATCAAACTATTTTTTTAAATAATTTGACGAAACCTGATAAAACCTTTTTTCTGGCCTACCGGAGACCAAAACTCCGAATATATTTTGTATTAAGTTTACTTTTAAACGCAGACAAGAGCGATATTGGTTGATGCTTGATGTTCAACACTTACTATTTAATTATTTTGAAGTTTAGTCATTGAATGTATGTTGTTTTATGAGCTGTTTTAACATCTATTACTACTACATACTTACTTTGAGAAAACGTTTGCCAAATGTAGCTTCAAATATTTTATCCAAATAGTAAAAAAAGTTTTTAAATTTTATCTACGGACTAACATAAATAACTATTAACTAAATGTTAATAATAAATGTTAATTTCTAAATGTTAAAAATGAAAAGGACATCTAAAAAATGTTAAAAAAATAATAACGAATAATTTTAAATTTAATTTTTAAGTCACATAACATAGTATTATTATGTAGTATTAAAATGGTGTGGTATTGAATCGGTATGGTAGGTATTAAATTTGTGTGGTAGCTATTGAATTTGTGTGTCATTATTGAATCATCTGTTTGGTAGGTATTTGTACCTGTACTGCAGGTATTGAAATTGCGATGTATCGAATGTGTGGGGTAATTAATGTTCTGCATGGCATTAGAAATTTTAACATTGACAGTCTCAAAGAATGCTAGTTAAAAATAGCACATAACGCAATTGAAGTGCTTTATTTATAAGAATTAAGTGTATGTGTGAGTTAAAAGTTTTATTTTCCGTGGTTAGGATTGTATATTGTATTTAATTAACAGTAGAACAGCCATAACCATATACCTACTTAGAATAAAAGCCAAACGGCCAAATTGCCCATGCTCTTGGTTTGCATAAGTTTTTAAGTTTCTACGAATCTGATTTATCTACCTAAATTAGTTTGATCTTTAGAAATGAATTTTTGGTTGGAAATAGATACATTGATCCTGCCTCCTAGGCAATTGGATCAACAAATTTTTTCACACTTTTTTTTACTCTGTAATTTAAGATAGTAGAAACAAATTTAGAAAGATGCTAAGAGAAATCGCTAGGGCAATCAGTTAAATTTAATCTTTATTTCTATTTGTTCGGGCCACCTCACAAGCGAGCACGCCACATTAATTTTCGTAAGTCACGTGACTCTGTTTACGGAGGCACATAATTATAATAATTTCAACATTCTTTCAGTGTATATAAATTACATTTTTTAATAATATAAAGTGGTATTTTAATTGACAATTTCAAACATGCTGTAAACATTTCATCACAAACTAAACAAGTACTCATTTACTCTAACCAAAAAACGTCAGGGTAATGGTCGATGTTTCATAAAGTCCAATTCACTTTCAAACCGCAAATATCATATATTAACTGTCGTTAATGCACGTTTTAAAATTTTTTATTTGACAGCTTCGTACATTTACAGATTCGTTTTATTCATTAAATTGCTTTAAAGCAGATCACATGATTATTGAAAATTAATGATGAAATTATAAGGCAATTAATAAATTAGAAAGGCAGAAAAATTTATCCTTGGTTTGCTCTTTTTTTTCTAAGCGGTTTGATAAGGTTTTTCAAATTGATGATTTTTTGTGACATAATAATTTTTTTATTAACTAATATTAATAAAACCTGTTTGCTAGGAGTTTTGAACTTTAAACCACAAACTTTATTTTGATGAGAAACGCACATTTTCTATATTTCATTGCTCAAAATTAAAAAATGCATGTAAAGATTTAAATGATCGAAATTTAATGTCGAAATAGAATGAAGTTAGTGATATTGTGCCAGGTTAATGAAGAGGTGCTTGGACAAATACTCGCGTGCATATCAATCAGCATTGCAGAAGAGATAAATGTCTGATTTTATGTCAAGTCACTGATAAAATTTAATTGAAAAAATTAATTTGATAAAGTTTATTTACAAATAAATGTTTTAAAAATATATGAAAAATTATGTCATCGTCATTTTGATTTTTAAAACTCGAAATAATAATGTTAGTGCAGTGTAGGTAGGTAATGGACATGAAGAAAATCCTCGTAAATAATTTATCATTTATCCGTCTTGAGGCACTCACGGAATTCTATTACATCTTTCTGTTTCCACGTTTTATGCGCATTATCCATCGAAAGGAACCTCGTTAAACCAGGCATTCAAATAATCTCCATTTTGAAAAATTAGAAGTTTATGTATAAATAAGAGTTGGTTGGATCATTGTATTTCAAAAGGTAGCCAATTAAATTTCAAAATGAGTTTAATTAAAAGCAACAAACAAGTAACAAAAAGTAATTGAAGTGTTTTATTTAATATCAAATATTAAATCGGCTTGTTTGAAGCATTTTTTAAATGTAAATAGAATTTAATCCTATATCCAACAAATTAAATGTTTGATAAAAGTAAGCAATGCATAGAACACACATTCGCATTCAATGAACAGTAACAATCAATAGTAGTGAAATTCTGCATAGGTTGATAAGTTATTGAAAAAATAATTAAATGTTGTTATGACTGAATGAAAAATTTTGTTAAGCAGAGTCAGCAATCCACGTGGCGTTGGAGGATTCTGATCTATGGAAGGAATTTTCATCAGTGGGAACTGAAATGATCGTCACCAAGCCAGGCAGGTTGTGTGCATGCATGATTCAAGAGAAACATTTCTATTGTAACCTTTTTAATTATAATACTTGCAAACACAAAACCAAATGGGGTTGAAAGAATTAAATGATTTAAAAATGTATGCATGAAATGAAATTACAATTTCGTAAATACTTTCCTTAATGCGACCGTGCGTGATGTATGTCATTCACTTTTATGCTCATATTACGCGCATTAAGTCTGGTGGTAATGAGATAAGCATAAGCTGGCATATAACCACGTGTCTGGTCGGACTGATTGTAATGCGTGTAACGTCAGGACGACACGCGGGATATAGTATTAGTGACATTACACGTCGCGGTTCTAATAACTGAAACCGAGTTTACTGCCAAATAATATTATATACCAGATTTCAAAATTTTATTTTTTCAAAAACAATTGTTTTTATATCTTTTAGATATTTATAAAATATTTTTTGGACGCTTTTGTAACTAACTTTTATCCGCCTAACCTTTTCTCTGAAGTTAGATCGATCGTAGTCGCTAAAAGTTTTGATGTCGTCTGAGACTTAATTGGAGGAATTTGCAACTTTTCATCCTCAATACCAACCTCAAGTGTTTGTTTCATCAGAAAGATGGGTCCTTACTAAGCTACACAAGTTTGCCTCCAAATAAAATTTATGATTTTTTTTTGTCATTTGTTTGTTTTTTGCGTAAGTAATGAGATGAGACCATGTAACCAAATTAAACCATTTTGCCACTTTTCTCATAAATTTTGTTCGAATAGTTCAGTAGTGATGGTCCAACTTCCGAATTTTCTATGGTTGTGGTTATCGAGGTTACGGTTTTCTTTAAGCGCAATTGCAGACAATTTCATTTTCGAGCGGTCATGGTTATGGGAGGTTTCTGTTTCTAAAAAGTTCCTCCACTTTTCGTTCTAAAAGAAATGAACGACGCTCACACAGCGTACCTGGTGACGCTTGAAAACCACACGGTTATCTTTTTATATTTGAACTAAGTAGCTACAAAACTGGAAAAGGCACATTTACCCATAATGTCATCATGCCTCCAATGTTATGTGATGTAATGCAATGTAATGTTTAATGTAATGTGATGTAATACAATGTAATGTTTAATGTGATGTGATATAATACAATGCAATATAATGTGATGTAATACAATGTAATGTTTAATGTAATTTGATGTAATACAATGTGATGTGTGAAAAAAATTGATGCGATGTAATGTGATTTGATGTAATGTGAAGTCACTGCGGTTCGTGATAATGACATGACATGTACGCAATTATAACATCATTTTTAACGTCATCAACATCATCATTGTTCGTGGTTTTGTTTGATGGATGGTTACGATGGTAATGGTGATAATAATGTTTGACATATATGTTGTATATATATATATATATATATATATATAGGTATATATATATATATATATAGGTATATATATATATACCAGGTATATATATATATATATATATATTTATACCTGGTGAGATTGTAGCGTACGGGTATGTATTCCACAAACAACTCAAATGCAGAGCAGCGCATGCATGCAGAAAAACGAGTGCACACATACGCATTAAAAGCAGAAAAATGGATGGACACCATCCTCATGCAAACACACGGTAAATATGCGTGCATTGAAAACATTTCATGTTCCGTACTACAATTCCTTACATCACCACACAACACCGAATGCTCACGTCGTCTGTGGAATGTTTAGAGTCACCTAGACCGAATACAATAAAACAAATATTTAAACAAAAACATTCAACAAATTTACACAATGCTTCTATACTCAGACGTATGTACCCACCAATCAGAGTGAACGTGAAAGGACTTTCACAAATGATGCGCTACACAATTTCTTTAGAAATCATTCCATGCAATGACTTCCGGTATAAGTACAATGGCGGAAGTTGGAGTGTAGCTGGTCCATCTGAGGACGGTCAGTCATTGTTGTTGCTGTGGTTGTTACTGTGGTGCTGGTGGTTGTTGTGACGATGGTGGTTGTTGTGGTAGTGGTAGAGAGGTTAAAATGTTTTTTGATGGAGTGTTGTTATAAAATGACTCTTTTTTTTAAACTTTCAGTTATGTATGTACTAATGTCATTAATGCTGTTGAAACACGCGTTGTTTAAAAATAAAAAATTGTTAAAAGTAAAATCAAATGTTTTGTATCTCGTGTTTCCTTGATCCATGGCGTTTGGCTGGATCTCACTAGCTCGCCACAACTTCTCACATGATCCTATAATACATCATAAATTGTACAGCAAGGAATACAACATAATCAAATTTGCACAACTGAATAATTGAAATAATATAATACTGACACCGGCCAGCAAATGAGAAGAGCAGGAGGTACACGCACGAAGATTCTCCCGCCCGGGGAAGTCACTGGATGTCGAAGGTCATCTCATTCCATAAGCTCAAAATAACCAACAACGTAAATGATCAGCATGGTCACGTAGGTAGATGTTGCATGCACTGTAGTGTGTGTATCACATTATGTCGTATGCACTGTAGTGTGTGTATCACATTATGTTGTTGTACTTCATGGCGTGTTATTCGTTCTCGCGCAATATATAATATTTACATGATGTTGTATGTGTTACCACTTTACAACGTATGTACGATGTAGTACACCACACATCTCGTTATTATAATAGTGTCTATCAAATTGAATATGTTTTGGAATATGTATGCATGTTTGGATGGTAGTGTAGATTCAACTAAAACAAAGCATAACAGCATCAACACCAATGTAAACAAAGTTTACAACACTTAAGCAAATGTATCAACAAAGCATGGATGAATGATTTTAAATAATTACAAAATGATATTCAAGCGAGCACCTAATTTCCAGCTGCTACTTCACTCCATGCACGTCTACCAGCCACGACTGCTCATCTGTCCATGCGACTTCAGCTCAACTGCCATCGAACGGAATGAAATTGAAACCGAAACTGAAACAACCTTCACCTTCCCGGAGACAAAGTTTATGGCAGTGACTGCCTACCAGAACGATTACGTGACCAGACTGAAGATCATGAACAACCCCTTCGCGAAGGGAGTTCGTGAAAAAATGCTCATCTGAATTTTCGGAGGTCCTGGGGTGACCGCTGATGACGACGAATGGTGATGGTGAGAATGAGAAATGTGATAACGGTGATGTTGGCTGTAGTTAGGAGAATGATGAGTTTTCAATGAACATCTGAGTTGTGATGTTTTCATGATGGTTTCAGTGATGAAGATGATGAGAGTGAGGGTGATGATGATGATCGTTGTTGTGATTGTTGTGATAACTTTCATGATGATGATGATGATGATGAGGATAACAGCCATGAAAACACGATATTAAAGCTGCTGTACTGACATGGCTGAACATTGAAAGGTTGGAAGATTTACGTGAACATGCAAAATGCCAGCGATCGTGATGATCCGCTGAACAGAACAACGATATGAACTGAACATTCATTCATCGTGGCACGTGACGATGTTGGGATGTGATGTAATGATGGATGGATGATGGATGGATGAATATTACTAAGATGGATTGGTAAGATGAATGTAGGAATGATGAATATGATGACAGATGGAATTAATTTAAGATAGATGGATAGTTTTAAATGAATAAAAATAAACATTGTCATCTTTACCTTTCTATACTAACGATCAGTTGCCTCATGTTTTCAAGAAATGATGAAATTAAATGATGAGTTAATTGATGTAAATAATTCTAACCTATATAACATTTTCAACAATAACTTGGCCGATATGTAAACTTTATTAAATTCTGTAGTAAGCTATTCGTTTAATTTACGAGATTTGCTAATTAATTTGCGTTTTGTTTAAATTGCAAACAAGTGCTACAAAAGTTTGATGCATTTTTAACGCTATTTTCCTATGTTTAATTTCTCGTTTGTCAGTTTAATACATTGTACCAAAAGCGCTGTATTTAAAGCACTTCACAACAAATTTAATGGACTTTGTAAATTAAAGTAAATGTAAGAACGAGGCTGTGCTATAATGTTGCGGAGTCTTCCTAATAAATATTTTTCATTTAAAAATTAACACGGGGGCTGCTCTGCATTGAATTGTCGCACAACCAAAGACAAAAAATTGTCACCAAGTTGCAGGATTTTGCTTTCATTTGGTTTGTTTATTTAAATGTAAAATATTTTAATTATTTTAATTAGCATCATTTTTGAAAATATTGATCCGCGCCCAAAAAAATAACATTATTACTCTCAGAATTTTCATTTATTTATATTTTTCTGTTTTCTAGAGAGACAAGTAAGAAACAAGTGAGATGTAATTGATCTTTTTTTTATTATTCTTTAAAAATCAAGATCTGACTGAGGCAGAAATGTTACACCATGCAAGCAGTAGTATAAAAATGAATAAATATAAAACAAAGGAAAAAGAAAAATGTTTAAACATGAAAAGTATTGAAAATAAAATAATGACATGAAAAGGCAAATTAATAAAGTAATTTATTGATGGACTAGATAATGACTTAGTGAGTTAGTGAGGTGCTCTGTAAGTAAAAGGAAAACTAGATTGAAAGATAAAGTTTCATTGAGTGCTAATATGTTCGAGGTGTCTTGTGATGAAGGTCTTTTCCTGATATGTTGATTAAGTGGCGACTTGATAGTTGTGCTTGCGTTGGCGAAGATAGATTGTGTGTTGTACTTTTCATTGGTGGTAGTAGAGGATGGACGAAGTGGTTGTTGTTATTCTCTACTTTCTTGAACAGTCTTGAATCGAGTGTGTTGAATATCTGAGTGACTGTAGGATATGATGGAGGTAGATAGTTGAGGCGAATTAGTTTTTTGATGAGAGATTGTAGTTGCCGAAGTTGTTGTTGTGTAGCAAAACCAGACCAGGAGGAAGCTGCATATTTAATGCGTGAGATGATGAGTGATTCATTGATGTCGAATAATTTGATGCCTCTGAGACCACGTGAGCGGAGTGTTTTGAGTGCGTGAAATGTTTGAAAACCTTTTGTGATGATCTGATTGATATAAGGTGCTATATTGAGTGTGGAGTTGAATGTGATGCCTAATATTTTTAATTGACTAGTGCGAGTGATAGATGGGTGTTCTGGAGGTAATTGTATTTTCTTACCGCTTTTGTGAATGATGAGTTCGAATGATTAATTGAGGTTAAGTGACAGATTGCATCGTTTTGACCATGTAGTTAATGAGTCGAGTTCTGATTGGATGGTGTTTGAGTTAGATGATTGGATGATAAGGTAGGTGTCGTCAGCCTATTTTACGATTTGAGTAGAACTATGTAGAATTTTTTAGAGTAGAAGCATTGATGATAAAGGTAGATGGTCCAAAGACAGAACCTTGAACTACATTAAAATTAGTTGGTAAAGTAGATGAAAGAGCAAAACTAAAAAAAGTAGAATGTTTCACGTTAGAAAGAAAATTTATTTGAAAATTGTAAATGTTGTCAGATAAAAGAAGAAAGGCTAACATATCTGAAAGTGATTGAGAGTGTCAAAAGCTTTAGAAAAGTCGAGAGTAATAAGATGAACATTATTATTATCTTTAAGGAGAGATGTTATTGTAGAAGTAAGAGAGATGATGGTAGATGCAGATGAGCCTGTAGGGCGTGATGCAAACTGATCTTGTAATAGTGGTTTGATGGATGGATGATTGAAACATGGAGGGATGAATGACCTAACGATGAATTTAACCCATATACTTTAAATCGTTTTAAAATCACGCCAGTTCTTATATATCATATTAAAATATAATTTATCTTTCTGCTCATCAAACTTTTTCCATTTAGCCAAGACTGCGGTCCCCATACATAATCTTTAAACGTAGTACTATCTATAATTGTTCATTGTTATCAACTATCAAAATTAGAACTAAAATATTTTTAATAATTAGAAATCTAAATGATAAAGTTTTGATAGATCTGAGACCTCAAAAATAAAAGATTAGCTAGCACCGACGGAAATAAAAAGTTGCTAAAGAAACATTATCAGATTGCATGCCAATCAGTTTCCAAACATTCATAAACTTTTGTTGATCATGGCAGTGCTGCTAAATTTGAAGTCAAAAGTTGAAAAAGCTTCTATACATTGAAAAATTTCAAAAAGTTAACAAAAACAGTTCAAATAATAATGATTTTTTTATACTTTAGCTTGAAAAGTATCCAATTTATATAAATTTATGAAGTTAATTGTTCAATTTTTTTGTAGTTTGCGTTATGCAATTAAAATGTATTTTTATTTTAAAATTTGTTTTCATTACTCATTTAATGTCTTGCGTTGAGAAACATTTTGAACAGTTCCCTAAATATAAATCTTGGGGCTACGGTCGTGTCATTTTATCCAATAAGTTTGTAATTGAAACGTGTCAAGTTATGTGATATGCAACAAGAACAACGAAAATTACTTTTATAATTTATTTTAAAGTTGAACATACATTCGTCAACAGTTGCATTGCAGAGTTTGTGAGTACAAATCAAAAATTATCGTGGGGGGTAGCGAAACTTGTCAGGTAGGCACGTCTTACTCGGCGCCTGTCAGTGAGGGTTCTATTTCAAGAACAAAATAGACAAAGCAAAATAGCGAATTAATTGAAAAGACGAAATCGGTTAATGCCAAACTTTGCATAACGATGACAATTTGTTGAACTTGCTGGCAAAACATCACGTCAGATACGACGACAAATAATTTTTGCAATATGGACACCTGCTTTTCATGCTTAATTCTTTGTGATATGCACTATGTGTTGTTTGCCCTCTGCTTTCGTGCTGTGTGTTGCATGTGGACTGTTATGTGACCTGCTCTCTAAGTAACATAGCACGCATAAAAGTAATAACATAACAACAATAACCATGAATGACTTGGTGAGCAAAAAAATTGTCATCTACCATTTTAAAGTCCCTAAGCTTCCAACAGCTATATTTTTGTTTCTATTTTTGAACTGTAACTTTTATAATTTTATCAATGGGCATAATCACATTTGTATACGAGTCTTTTGTTGTTTTGTTGATCTACTTCTCCACATATCTGAACCTGCAGTTAAGACCTAAATTATTTTAAAAAAATGCAAACAGTGAAAAATTTAAAAAAAAAAGTTTAGTTGGAGGTTGGCATAAAAAACGAGATATAAAAATCATGTTGAGTGCAGAAGAATCACGAAGTTCGAAGCAAACCCCACACTCGCGCTTACATCACAAAAATAAATCAATTTATTCTTACAAACTCACACAGGACAATGCAAAAAATGAAACTCAAATACTTCATGGCGAACTGACGAAGAAAAATCATTAAAGCGCATGCTGCGTCTGTTTACCAAACAATGGTCTGCTTATTAGTGCATATTTTATTCCTTGCTTGTTAGTTGGGTTTCTTTAGTGATAAAAAAATGTTTAGAATCAGAATGTTTAGAATCAGAATGTTTAGAACAGCGCTCCGTCATAACAGGGCAACTCTGCTCGATAACAGGCACGCACATGCATTGTATGTGAGTTTATTAATTAATTGTAACAATTATTTCAATTAATTAATTCAATTTATTAATTAATTCATTTAAATAAATAATTAATTAATTTTTTTGAATTATTTAATTAATTAAATAATTCATTTAATTAATTATTAACAATTAATTAAAAATTTATTTTTTAATACGTTTTTGCGTTTTTTCTAACATTTCTTTGTTCGGACAACTGTTTGTTTTTTACGTATTTATTTAGAAATAGTAGTTTACAGAAAAAGAATTCAACTAAAGGGTTTTTATTCATCCGGAACATTTCGTTCCTGTGAACATCAACATGGTATGCCAGTGCAATGTTTGAAAAATTAAGTCCCGCCCAGTACAATGTTGTCCTTCCATGCATGCACACGCACGTATAAATTCTACATAGATCAGCAAAAAAGACTGTTTAAATTTTTGCGTGTAAGCCTGTTTGGAAGCACATTTTGGCACAAGTGAAACGTTGTAAAAATTTGTGAGTATAGAAATTTTACACTGGGGTACTATGCGAACATGATCGATAACTATAACGTAATCTGACCTTCAATTTGTTTTTAAAAGTTGTTATAGTTGATAGGTTGGTATTTTTGTTAATTACGTTTTCTCTGTTTATGTTTCTCCGTTATATTTCCGTTCTCTTGGGTTTGTTTATGCACCATTGCTGGTTTGTGTGTACGTACAGCACACACGCGCCAGTAGAAATGGTCATGTGACTTTGTACATTTAGACATTAAGCTTCACCGGGCATATAAACATTGAGGGACACGAACAATGATGGAACATCATCTCTTGCTCCACCCGACGCAATGCTATGCATGCAACGTAGCATGATGGCAATGACGAGGCTTGCCTCCTCCTCCTCCTCCTCCTCCGATGTTTGCCGATATTTGAACATTATTTGCTCAACGTTTGTTGACGACGTGCAAAATACCTCCCACAAATACACACACATATCGTGGTTTACATTTTTGCTCTAATATTTTGTAACTTTCCATTAGATTCCAACATAACTAACGAAGCATTTCTTGAATTTGTGGCAAAATTTCATTTTATTTTATGAATTGAACTGGGTGCGTATGTTTAGCGTTTTTGCCTCTACTGTTATTCTTATATTAGTGAAAAGACATTTGCCTCATATTTGGAGATTGAGAAACGATGAATGTTCATCCAGTGTTGCATCTACTCCACAAATTATAAACT